TTTGATGTTCATAATTCTCGACTCTCTGTTTCATTCTACAGTAACAAATGTTTCAGTGAAGAATCTTGCAGTATGAATAATTAAACTGTGTAATTTGCGAATAACTTAAGACACATTGGGGGTTTTTTTAGTTATTTGAACAGTATACTAGTTAGATTTACCGGAGAAAACTAAGCCCAGTTAGTTCACAAACAGAAAACTGTCACAGTGTTCAACAGATCGCTTTACTTTTGCTAATTGGAGCATCCCCGAGGTAACTCCTGAGTAACTGGCAAAGACTGAGAACACTTCAGAAGTCATTGCTTCCACAGACCCCTCTTTGTCATTCCCCTCACCTGTACAAACGCAGCAGTAGGTGCTGTAGCTGTTGCAATTTAAGATTGCCATTTAAACAAGACTGCTTTTTACGGTGCTAAAGGCATCGGAAGATGAAAAGAGCACTTAGTGAATGTCAGTTAGCTGGATCGGTGATTGCCAGATGAGCTAGCGCGGGGAATTATCTCGGCAGCACCCCAGTTGCTTGCCTAAAAAGAAGGATCCTTCACTCCTGGAGGAGATGAGACCCATCTCTGAGAAGACAAGGCATTTCCCGGCCTGCGTGGCTGCCCGGTGCCCTTTCCTACGCCTGCGTTTGACAGGCATTTCTGCTGTGAGCCAGGCATATTACAAACAGTTAAAACTACGTAGCTTGCAGAGCATACAAGCACACAAAGAGCAGCATTACGTTCATTAAATAAAACCTAGTCATTTTATGATCGATGAGAAACCTCGTTTTAAGGGGAGGCCATTTTTAACTGAAAAAGGAGCAGCCAAGGGAAAAAAAAAATCTCAATCATCTCCATTTTTGCAGTTACAGCAAAATCTATCAGTGAAATTTTGCAAAACATAGCCCTACATATGCATTTTTTGGCACTGCCTGGGGCAAGAATTCCCAAATGGCTGTGTATGTACCACCGAGAGTATGTACAGACACGGCGGTGTGGGAGAAGATCCAGCACAGAACCAGGCCCTGTTACCACTGTCAGTACAAAACAAGTGCGGGAATCGCTCAGTGAGGAATTTCACCCAGTTTTCAAGTCAAAAACATTTGCATAACAATTTTTGGGGTTGGGGGGGGGTATAATTTAAGTAATTTTTTCTGCATTCATTATTTCCTCTATGCTTTTATGCTCTGTAAAATCTTTCAAGACCAACTATTCCACAGTTGATAGGTGACCTCCCTTTAAGGTGATCATACCAAGATCTGCACTGTTCATTTGGATTTTTTTTTTTCATGTATGATAATGTATTTACAGATTATACGTAGCTTGATGGTTTGTATTTTCCCATCTTTTTCGAGGTAGAAAAAACGTGGAAGCTGTTCTCTCAGGTCTGCAGAAAGATGCCGTGTAGGGCACTGGTCACGTCATGGCACAAGTGGCTGTGCGGTTCACCGGTACGAAACCAGTTCAGGGTCTGGCCATGCTCTCTCCCCTTCGGCCCTTTGTGTTCATGTCTTTACCTTAAAAGCTCGTAGTCTCATTGCATGTGTCCTCAAAGGGTTTACTACATTAAGATTTCATTTATTGGTGCTATTTGAATAGAAATTACCGTTTTATAGAGTGATTATTACAGTCACCGAAATGACAGGATTTATGAGAAATAATGCAAACGGGCACAGATTTGCAACTTTCATTCATTTCACTGCTCCTACAGCATTCTGAGTTTGGGTTTATTATAATTTCATGTCATCCCTACCGCATCCTTTCTTCAGATCCCTGCTTGCAGAGCACCTTCTGGCTCTGCTCTCACTCCCCAACTGCCTTGGCAGCCTGCACAGGGTCACTGGTAGCGGCGGGGGGGGATGCTCATGTCTTGGCTTTGCATTCCCCAGTGTGGTTTCATGAACTTGGAGGACCAAGTTAACGTTTGTAACACAAGCTAACATTTAAAAAACCTTGCCTGTGATTAATAGAAATCACCTTTTTGTAAGACTGAACTATAGAGCTGCAACATTGCTGTATAATTCGGTGCAGTCGTAGGCAGAGCCCTGAAGAGAACTGGTGAGGTCTGGTAACTCTAAAAGCACAGCGCAAGTGATTCTTCAGCATTATCAGAAACCTGACATGGGTACAGCTTTGTTCAGGACTTTGTTAACTCTGTGTGTGTTGCTTTTAAAGCCAGTCTACTTTCATACGAGCCTTATATAAATGCTACGGTGGTACAAGAAATCAGGAGATGATTAGCTATGGGTCGGCAGGCGGGTTGACTTGTTTCTGTTGTGTTTGTTTTTCGTTTAGTTACAGTTGTATAGGATGATTTCCAAGAGGGGTGAGGAACACGGTGTCCAGCAGCACCCGCCTAAGCAATTTTGCTCCATTGATTTTCAGTACTTCGATCTTATCAGACAAGATTTTAGGAAAGTTTTTCACAACTGCTGGAGATGTGTGAGTGAGATTGCTCTCCAGTGACAGTGTAGCCAGGAGTTTTGTGTTTCCTCATCTAACAGGTGCTTTGGTAATAGTTTCTTGGTATCAAGAGAAACAGTAAAATAATAAGATTCATTGCAATAACACGACTGGGTTTTGCACTGAGAAGTTCCTTCTCTCACATTGCGGTGAGGTGAGATGTGTTGCTCTTTGGGGATGTGGCAACTCAGTACTGGACAAAGAGGTTAGCAGTGTGCCAGTCATCTGCCTGCTGACAAAGATGGGCCTTGATATATGCCAGCAGCCAACTAAAAAGTCTGCAATAACGAGAGGTACAGAGTCATAGTTAAAATTAAGGCTACTGTAGACCCACAGTAATGATTTCCCGCTTTTTTACATTTTCTGTCAATGTTTGTTGGTTGCCATTTTTATGCCATCCTCCTTTCAATTGAGTTCAGAGACCATGTTACAGTTTTCTGAGCTGCCGACTCACAAACTAGCTGACTTTTTTAGCAGTCAACCTCAGTGCTTCTGGACAACAGCTTAATTTTCCTATTCTTCTCCATTCTTAAGGAGATTTGCTGTTATATCCATCATGCATTTTAAAGTCCATTCCTTTTCAAGAAGGTATTGTTACTGTTGATTCATTTAAATACACATAAATATAAATTAAGTGGGGTCTGATGCTCTAATTCTTGTTAGTTGCATGCCATGTCTTTATATATACATAGAGATGTCAGCGTTCAGTGATCAAGCCCTAGATCTCTCAGACGCAGGCTGTGTCTGCTCAGTGCTTGATTTCTTCCTCGTTGTGGTGCCCAGTAATGTGCTTAGATGTCCTACAAAACTAATAACAAGGGAAAAACACTACCCTGCAGATCTTACAGTCTGTTTTGGATGCAGCAGGAGGTCCAGCAGCTCATAAACTAGACCAGGACATAAAGAGCAATACAGGATAAGAATTGGACCAGGGATTAGATAAATGATACTGCAGTCATCCAGGTGTTTTTTCCTGTGCATTATGTTTATGCCTTGTAATCCAACGTAATTCTGCTCATAGATGGACCTGCCACTTCCTAAGAAGTGTCCGAAGCATCCCACGCATCCCCCAAAACTGGGGATTGCCAGGAAGGGAAAGTGGGGTTGGGAAGAGAGAGGATAGAGGCTGTTACCAGGAACAGGAGAAAAACAGTGGCAAAATAAAATGTGTAGGGGGAGAGAGTCACAGAGAAGTACATACCTCGGTTTCAAATGTGGGAGGCATTCTGCTTCTCAGCTTGTTTTTGCTATCTGTCTATGATCATAATTGAGCTAGCTGCAAAAAGGATCTTGAAAACAATTTGAGTGAGAGAGAGAAAGCATTACTGTGGAGTGAGACCAAAATCCCATCCTCCAGCCCACGCACAATTGGACATTGCAGTGATAGGGGGGAAATCCCTTAACGGACAAAACTATAAATGAAACTACTGTTGATGAGGGGAAGAGGTGCAGCTATATTTAACGGAAGTATTTTCATTTGAAAGCTGCTTTCTTTTTCTTCTTTTTTTTTTTTTCCCCTTTCTTCTCTAGTCGGTGAAGACTGCGAGGGCTCTTCCTGTTTGAGACAGTGCATGGGTGGTTTCCCCAAAGCTTTTAATGTTAGATTAATGCTCTGGAGACAGTGTGGTGATAAATGGGTTCCTACAGTTATATCTACATCCTGTTCCCCCTTCCCCCTCCCGCATCTGCCCCGACGTACGGTCGCTCTGCAACCCTCGCCTTCATACCCAGCAACAGCTTTGAGCAGCTTCAGCCAGCATTTAAGGCACCGCTCTTTAAAATTTGGCCACCAAAATTCTTTAATTTTCAGTGCCGTCACCTTCGTTACCCCTTATTTCTCAGGCAATAACAAAAATGAAACAGGGAACAGAAAGACCTCTGGTTAAAGGACGGACCACTGCACTGGCTTGTCGTCTGCTGCTTGGCGGATCCCAGTTAATTACTTTTGCTATTGCTGTTCAGTTTTCAGAAAATAGGTTTACAGGAGTGGCCTTTCCGTTGTTTCACATTTTAATGGCAATGCTCTGCATGTCATACTGTACTCGGCAATAAATGAGCAGAGGGTTTAAATCTCTCCCCTGATACAAGGAACGGCTCCCCTGTGTCAGCTGCATCTATGCCTTGATTTTACACAACTTGCGCGCTGATGGGGATTTTAGTATTTAGCTTCAGCAAACACCGACACTGAAAATGCAGCAAGGGAAATGAAGATTTGAGGCACTGTTTTTTAGCTGGACTTGCCCTTGTGGCGATTCCTGGTTTTTACGTGTTTGTTTTTGTTGTCGGTTAGTGCAGTTCTCTGGTTATTTTTCTGTGCGCGCATTTCCATTTCTATACGGCTTCCCCTATACGTGCAGGGGAGGGGGATGGGCTGTGGCAGGGAGATCAGGATGGCTCTGGTTAACCTCCCGGGCTCCATGCAGCCGGCCCACGTCCTTCTGCTTACGCGGCAACGTCTTTCAGATCTCGGAGCGGAATTATTTTTAGACCATGAAGGTGTATCTGGCTGGTGCATTTAGATTTCATGTCATGGCTTCCTTTTCCTGCTCTCAGGTTTCTCCCACTCGGCCTTCACCTTCGGTATCGAGAGCCACATCAGCCAGTCCAACATCAACGGAACGCTAGTGCCACCTGCCGCGCTCATCTCCATCCTCCAAAAGGGGCTCCAGTATGTCGAGGCTGAGATCAGCATCAACGAAGTAAGTACCCCCGGTAGCCCCGGTACCCCCGCCACCGCCCGCACCTGTTGCACCACCCACTGGCACACCGGGGCTTGCGAAGCGACACGTCCCAACAGCCCAGAGACACAAGCCACCACTCTGCAATTTCTCTTGAGCTGGTTTAGTTTTGTTCCTCATGCTTTGCCCTATGCCCAGCAGAGAGAGAGACGTATTTCAATTTTTAGCTGTGGCCTTCTTTGCACTGCTTAACTGAGTATTAATGGTGTTTCTGCTACCCCAGTCAATAAATCCAGGGTGCACAGGTTCTTGCACCAAACAAGAAAATGCCTCTGTGTTTACAGTCTTACGTTTTCAAGGACACAGCAGAATTTGGCAGGAAAAGCCTGCAGTGTAGGTGACAACTTCACTCCCTGACGCCTGCTATCAAGCTATGAGAAGCCTGATCAAAATCCATGGAGGTCACTGGAGAGGTTCTGTTTGATTTCAGTGACTTTAGCTCAGATCATATAAGACCAGGCATCCTCCTCCCATGAACACAGCAAAACAGTTGTGTGTAAATTCTGACCCTGGCTGGGGCACTGGTTGTCTGTGGGGATTGTATGAGCAGCCACAAAATGTCTCTGTTCTCCTTGAACTGCCAGCGGAAACAAAGAGGGGATGGAGGAAAAGCCAGCAGTTTTGCTCTGCCAGCCTTAAAGGCATGGTGCTTCGAGAGGGAGTGAAGCATGACAGATAAGCAAGTACTGCATTACAAAATATTTACCATAGATATTCATAATTGACAGAGATCTGTAATAAATATTAATACATAAAAAGCTATTGCTTTTTCCTCTATAGCTGAATGTAGCATGTGAACAGCTTGGGTGAGAACAAAGGAATATAAAATAGAGAAAAGGTTGTTGTTTGCAGTGTGTAGTTTGGAAACTCATTTGTTTTTCTCGCTGACATTCTATGTGGTTTTCTTTTTATGACTCAATGCTGTGTTTAAGAGTTGTGTATGTGTTATTTTTTAATTGGGGCAATGACATTTGACATTCATGCCAAGCTGCACTTTGATGCAGTTGTAATAACAAACCAGCATTAGGAATCTCTCCCAATTTGCTGCTACTTAACATTTTGCCCTGTGCTTGAAATTGGAGCTACACAGTTAGAAACTTTCAGCCATGAACAGCACCTACCAGTTCAGGTCATATGACAGCTATAGGGGTCTGCTCCTGTGCATCCAGCTTCAGAATTGACCTCTGTTGAGAGAATAATCTAAAAATACATGTGTTGTCACCATTAAGATTTATGTTGCTCTCATCGTGGTTTGATTCTGTTCAAATACATACTGTTAAGTTCATTACAGCAAAGCAGAGGCCATGCCTGCTACGTCTGAACGCCAATAAGGGCTACATATGTGCTTCTCTATGTGTATTACTTAAAAGCAGCGAGTAATCAGTGAGGCTGTAAACTCTTGTGTGCAAAATCTACGTATTGTTTGTGCTATGTTAAAGGGCAGTCATGGAAATAGTCCAGTGAGCAGTTTTACAGTGAAAAATGTACGATGCCAAAATCCATTGGCAAACATTTTTTTCATTGTGTAGCAAGGATTTGAGCCAGGATTCAAATAAATGTTGGTAGAGACATTTACATTAAAAATGTTGAGGAGAAAGAGAGCTTACATTTTTCTTCTCTAATGACTCTTTCCTCCTTTTTCTTCCCCATGAGGAAACAAATACGTATTATCTTAATATTGTAATTGTAAGGGGTAATTCAAAGACTAGTCCAACAGAAGCATGCTAGTCAGCCAAACGGCTATTTTTCTTTATTAGTTATTGTTATCTATTGAAAATTATATTGTTTCCCAGCGACTTCATCTATCCATATCCTGATCTTATCTGCTGTTCCTCAAACACAAATCTTTCACTGCTGAGTCTTGATTATTTCAAAGAATTAAAGGGAGTTTGCAGAAGATCAGTAAAATGGGACTTTACGGAGGCTACTAAAGCCTTTTTCCTATGTTTAAGATAATAAGAAAGTGAAAGTGAAGCAAAGCTAAGTAGATATAGCGGTTGTTGACCTGGGTCTATATTAAGTCTTAAAAAACAGCCCTTAAAGGTTAAGTCAATTGGTTGTTAAACCTGAAGCCTAATTTATGGAAATCAAAATGAAAGACATAATTATTATGAATAAAACTAGCAGAATAAAGGAAAAATAATGGTAAAGCAGCCCTGGACAATCAGCTACAACTGGTGGAGCTGGGCTGTTGAATGCCGTCTAAGAAACCACTGAATTTGTGCATACGCCTTGTTTTGGCTGAGGTTCATTATTCATCAGCTGCTTCTATTCCTGTGCCCCTGCAAGTGCAGGAAGACAAACAATTCAACCAAAGTCTGTTTGCCTTTGTCATAGCTTTAACCATGACTCTTTTTTTCCAAATACAAAACAAAGAGAAAGTTTCTGTCATCAGTCAGACTTTTTTTTTTTTCCATAGCATAGTTTTTTTGCTTCTGTAAAGACTATATGCCTGAATTTTCTATAAAATTCCAATAAATGACTTATTCACCGAACAGATTTCTAAGTGGAACATGAGTAACACCATCACGGATCTGAGAGAGAGGCGGTCCGTAGTAATGTGGTGCTGTTGGTTAAGTCAAAGTGCAGTATCTTCACACAACCTGGTTTTGTTTCTTTATATCATTACCTCTTTGTCGACCTCAGTGGTGAAGATCCTAAACTTGCAGTTTCACTTCTGCTCCATTTTCCCTGCAGGATGGTACAGTATTTGACGGCAGGCCGATAGAATCACTGTCTCTGATAGACGCGGTGATGCCTGATGTTGTTCAGACCCGGCAGCAAGCATTCAGAGAGAAACTAGCTCAGCAACAAGCCAGTGCAGCGGCAGCAGCGGCAGCAACGGCAGCAACAGCGGGAGCTACGACGACTGCTGTTTCCCAGCAGAACACACCAAAGAACGGAGAAGCCACTGTGAATGGAGAGGAGAATGGGGCACATGCAATAAGTAAGCCAGCCCATGCAGCTGCTTGCCACTACTGGGTGATTTGAGTTTCAGTGATACTCTTATACTTACTTGGCATCTTCAAGGGAGCTCAGGGAGTTCTCAGGCATCTGGAAGAACTCGGGGGAATCATTTCAGGAGGGCAGGGTATTTCTAGAAAGACTGCTCAGTAAAAATCATGTTTCACATCACAGTGCTGTTTTACTCATGTCCTCTCAGAATCCAAAAACTTCAGATACCTTCAGAATTGCAAATTAAAGGCAGTATCAAGAAGTGGAGCTGTATGCTCTCTCCTTGGAGCAGGCTACCCAGGCTTCATTAACATTGTGAGCTTTATAGGTGCTGTTAGATATCTGATAGAAGTTGGGAGAAGCTGTAGCCACAGTTGGTCATTTTGGCCAGGCTAGGAGGGAGATGGCTTAAGAGGCTGGGACCTAGAAGCCGTATGTTGTGTAAATGAAGCATGGCCAGAGCATAACCTTGAGCACTAACTATCCAGTGGTCATCCGTAGCCTTGGCATGGTCCTTGGCCCAGTTTGGCCTATACCAGCTGTCCATTCTTGAACAGCATGGCCAAGCACAGAATAGGGAGTTGCACATACCGAGGGCCGTTCCCAGCAGACAGCTCGGATGCAGCCAACCTGTCTTGGAGACAGAGGAAAGAGTTCCTCGCCTTTTTATTTATTAGCACATTCTTAGTCATACAGTCCACTGCAGATATCTGATTGAAGGTCCTACCTTCCCAAGATTTCCTTAGTCTGTGGGAACAGTCAGTTCTCAAGAGCTCTGAATCCACCTTTGTTTATTGGTGGTGGCAGGAGACTGCGCTCGTCTCTTAGACATCTGAAGTCAGACATATAAAACAAGGAGTGGACATTCCTGCATGTGTAACTAGATCGTGACAACTGCGCTAACATTGTGGGGCAGATATGATTAATGGTTCTGGTTTCTGTGTGCAAGCTATATTAAGGCACTGGCTAACTTCTGAAGTGAGACCTTAATGCCTGATTGCCTTCCCAGGAAATTCTAGAGGAACGTGCATGGCAGGTTTTGTAGGAAGCCCTGATAGCTCTTTGGCTTAGACGGGTAACAGATCAGGACTGTAGTCATGTCACCGATTGCCTTCCCGGGAAATTCTAGAGGAACGTGCGTGGCAGGTTTTGTAGGAAGCCCCGATAGCTCTTTGGCTTAGACAGGTAACAGATCAGGACTGTAGTCATGTCACAGATGTTATTTGTTCTGCAGTGTAGATACCTTTATCTGTCCCCATCTTCTCTTTGATCTGAATAGATTCCTCTGTGGGTCACTAAGAAAAATGCTTTCAAACCAAGTTTTTCTTCAGAGGATTCCAGTTAGACAGGATAGTTTCCCCCAATAAAACTGCAATGATTTAAATTACATTTTTCCTTTGAGAATGTAATTGTATAAAAGCTCTGAAAATGTTGAAAATATTAATCTGGTTTTAGACTATGGATTGCTTATGTTTTACTTCCAACTGACCCTTTGTTTTGAAATTGAACTTATTTCATGTGTGAAGGGTTGCAAACAGAAATGAAAGCACTTTTAAATGTATCAAACACTGACATTTTGTTTGTTGACACTTTCTTTCAGCTGATTTGTGAAAATTTTGGGAGAATGTCTTCCTGTCTCAGGACCAAAAAAATCAAATTCTTAAGGTAGAAAACTGATTATCAGTTCAGCACTAATACAGAACCGCTCAGACTTACTTCCTTCTGATCTGAAGAAACACACATGCTATTGTATTAGTAACAGGAAAGCCTTGTGGATCAGTTCAGATGTATGACCACGCTCTACGCCTTGATTTCTCAGATCTGCCTTTTTATTAGTAAAAAATAATAATTCTCACAGCAATTTTTAATAGAAAGGTTTTCACAAACAGTTGCAGACCTTTTTTGGAGTATTGAGGAGAAGTCCTGTATGACTTAATATCATCCAGTAGCTCTTCTCTGGAGCAGGAAGCAAGACCATGGCGCTGTGTTGTCCAGTACAATTTCACAGAGGCAGGGTACGTGCCAATCAATGAGATCCTCTACCAGACAGCAAATTTCAAAGCATTACAGTGGCTAAGCAGCCTACCAGGCAAGCAGAGTAACTGAGGAGTGGTGATGGGAAGGCAGAAAGTCCTCGAGGAGGAGCTGGCCAACTGGCACGTGTTGTTGGCAACTACTGTTGTGCCAGTTGGTCATCGTGGGTGAGGAGGTGAGCTCAGCAATTTAAGGAGAAGGAGGCTTTGGAGGGAAGGCGGTGAGAAATGCAGGGACAGCCGACTCTGATTTGTGTGCCTCCCTCACCTTGGCAGGACTATAACCTTTCTGTCTGCGGCATTCGGATGGTACCAGCAAGGTGGTGTAGCACAACTGCAGATGAGGATTACACATGGGAGATGCACACAGAACTGCAAAGCTGGCATTCTCACCCTTGAACAGACCTGTTTATTTAAACACCAAGAGATCTGCCTCTTTAATTAGCAGAAACGACTAGAAATAAAGATTAATATATCTAGCTGGCAATTTGGGTCTGATTAACACTCTTACAATTGTACTTCCCTCTCTTGTGGTAAAGTTATAAAAATAGTTACGTTAATGAAATAGCAAAAAGGTCATACCCTTCCTTTTCATTGCTTACGCAGGCCAAACTGTATATCCAGACTTACCTTTTCCCTTATCACCGCGTTCAGAGGGGCTGTTTAGGATAGACTAAGACGAAAGATCTGGCAAGAGCTTAGCTTAGGACAAAAGGTTTAGGGTAGGACAAAAGTTTAGGATAGGGTGTAAAATGGCTTAGATAAGGACACAAGGTTTAGGACAGGTAGGACAAAAGTTTAGGATAGGGTGTAACTATAAATCTTCCCCAAAAAGTGCTAATATATTTAATGTTACATGATATATTTTTGTATGTGGTGTTATCAATATAATATGATATGATAGGGTGATTTGATTTAAGAAAGGGAAGAGACAGAAAAAAATCTGACAGCGGTTTGAGGTGCAAATTCAAATACTAAATAAATAAAATCACTGCCTTCTCTTACTGCTTCCTGAGTAATATTTTCAGCTTTGAGTCACTTTAAAAATTAGTAGAAAAAATAAAAATCGGCATGTAGAAATGGAGCCAAACTTTGGATTGTTTTCCAACTCAAATATTTTTAGCGTCATTTGTTTCATTATATTTGCAAGGATTGGCTTGGGTTTAAGAAAAATAAAGCTCTGGAAAAAAGGCTGAGCCCAGTTCCTTTATTATAACTACAGCCTTAAAGACCAACTTCAGCGAAGGGCCTGTCAAAGATTTAAGTAAAAAAACACATTTCCTGATAAAAGACAGGGTTAGCAGTGGTAAGATCTTAAAAATACATCTTTTTTAATTTGGAGAAGATAGAGAGTTAATATTACTCAATGGTGTGTTAGAATTATTTTTTTCTTTTTTTAAACAATATTTTTGGCAAATATGACTTTTGATTTCCAGTGATTTGGGATTTTTAATACATTTGAGGAAAAAAATTAGAAGAATACAGTGTAGACTTAACCAAAGATCCTCTGACCTTTAGAAAATAGTTTTCCATGTGACCTGCAGATTTAAGTTTTTCACCTATGAGGGTCTGTTGCACTTGGTAGAACTGTCCTTTCTTTCAGAGACCCCCTCAGAGGCATTCTTTGTGCAAATGAGGTCTTAACCGAGAGCTTTCTGCTCTGGAGATACTTTTTAAGAAAGGAGCCTGTTCTTGATGGTTACTGCATCTTACTTACCTGTTTATTCTCGTTGCCCATGCACACATTGTAGCCGCTTCCATAGGAAAGCCAAACTCTCAGATGAGACCAGGGCTGACAAGAGCTCGTGCTGTGTAAGGGACTCGGCACTCTTACGAGGGTGCCGTCTCGTGCTCAGGGCGTTTTGCAGTCGTTTGTTATCATAGTCGTATCCGTTTTGTATTGCTAGTGTCTATCTGAATCAGGAGAGCCTGATACAGTATTGCAAGAGCATGAACTGTCCTGTTTGTACAAAGGGGTATTTTGAGTTTTGTGCTGAACAGTGACACTAAATATGAATGTTCCTGACTACTGATGAAAATAGGAAGAAAATGCATATAATGTGAACATTTGTGAATGATTTCTGAATGACTTCTCATCTTTCCCTCCCTTTTCTCCTGAACCACCAAAGCTGTAGTGTCAAAATCATTACTGAAGACAGTAGAAAATAGTCCTGCAGGTATTTCGTTGCTCCCAGAGGCCAGTCAGTCTTGTATGTAGTAATGCAGGTATCAGCCGGTCAAGGTTTCTTTTTCACAGCATGACTATTTGTGGGTTTTTTTCACCGCAGTTAATAACATTCAAAGTGTGTATCTAGGTTCCTCCATCTGGTCATGTACAAATGAAAAACATTTCTAAGTATCAGATGGCTTTGGTCTGATAGCACCTCGTGATGCTGGGACCTTGGTGTAATGCTGCTTCCAAACTGTCATTTGGTTTTACTCGAGAGCAAAGAGCAGCTGTGTCTTTAGAGCCAGGCAGGTAACAGTAGGATCGTATGTGTAGCATCTCATTTAAATTTTTCAAATTAAAATACTTGAAAGATCTTCTTGATTTACCCCCAGCTTCCAACTCACACTGTGAACAGGACACAGATGAATGCATAGCCATTACCGTGCTGCTGTTTTTCTCATGAAAATATGCTTTAAACGTGGTGATTCAGTGCTGTGCTGAGAAATAGAGGATTGTGAGTTCTAGACTTGTATCTTCTGGTGGGTTTTAGTAGTGCTTTGCTCTTCACTGCCCTGAAAGCTCAGAATATCATATCAGAGTTCCCAGCTGCTAGTGTCAGGCTAAATCTCGAGTACTAGTATATCTTGACAGTATTAATTTTAGTAGTTATACACATAGGGTATGCTTAATATAGGGACTCAGCATAGGCGTAGATTTTCAAATAGGCATTTGTAATATGTTTAGTTTTATGCAACAAGTCCATAGGTAAGAAGTATAGTTAAAAATATAGATACTTGGAATCAGAAATGTGAGCTGTGAAACTACTGTTAGTTTTCTCATTTTGATACTCAGTGCTATGCAACTCATTGAATTCCAGGGGAATTCCATTCCATTCCGTTCCATCTATGGGTAGATATGGCACAGACATAGTTACCAGGGTACCTAACCAAATATGCAATGAGAAGTGCTATTCGTGTGACTCGGCATAAATTAGACAGAGCAAAACAGGGTATTTGAAAGCCTGGGTAAGAGTAGAAATCTGGAGATCTTCCTTCCGATGGCAGTTGTGCAGCGTCACTGTCTGTTTTGCCAGTCAATGGGCAAGAGCTGAGCAGAGCTTGAGTATCAGGACAGATGGCTGATTTTAAATGCTATAAACATGTGGCAATAAAGGAGCATAATTATTCCACTTGCAAACCTATGGATCTCCATATGTGATTAAAGAATGACTAGCTAAAAGACTTAACCCAGAAAGAGAACTTGCATGTCGATCACTCGGAGCAGATCAGCTGGCCGAGGCACCGATGAGATAACAGGAGGCTGCCTTTGGACCTGCTTTCTGCAAAATGGGCTACACTCCTGTGTGTAACATCTGCTGTCTGCTCCATCAGTGCGTTACCTGTCCTTGGCTGGTGTCTTGTTCGCAGAGGATAATAACCTTGCGTTGCTGCCAGGAAGTGTAGTTTGAGCTGAATGAGGAAGATTTATACTGAAGCAATGAAAATCTGGAGTGAAAACATTGTTCGTGATGCAAATTGGAATGAATTGCTGCCACTAAGAGAAATTCATCATTTTAAATTCACATTTTTTTTCCTTAAGGAAGTAAAAGAGCTTTATAAAAACAAAGTTGCTTAGACTGCAGTCTAAAGAACTCCAGAATTACAGCATGTAGGTTAAGTATATCTATGCCTCCGTTGGTACCTTTGCATATATCACGATAGCCTTGAGAAGGTGATCACTCACTGTTTCCCTGCCGTGCTCAGTGAATGAGGCCCTTCCTCGGCATATTCTTCATCTGTGAGTACCACACATATTACTTACAGGGCACTGTGTAGGAAAATGTATGTGCTGTATGTTACTTTTTTAAAAGAACAGCGTAAAGCTTTTCTCAAATGTGGCCATCTGCTATTTTAATAAATCTGTAAGTCATTTTTAATGAAGCCAGCTTCAAAAAAAAATGATACTGAAATAAATGCAAGCTGGTTTGTGGAAGAAAAGCTATGTGCATTTATACAAATGTTTGGGAAAGCTCTATATTTTGAGGAAATATCATAAATTTGGATCATCATAGGGAAGAAAATAGAGTAATGTGGTCAGTGACACAACACAGATTATTGTTCATAGTGTCTACATTGCTGTAAGCTTTAGGCCATGGGTAGCCAGCTTGTTTTTTAAAGCAGATCTAACGGCATCTTGCAAACTACTTATTCTGATCTCTCTCCTTACAGATAATCATTCAAAGCCAATGGAAATTGACGGGGATGTTGAAATTCCTCCTAACAAAGCAACAGTCCTTCGGGGCCATGAATCAGAGGTGTTCATCTGTGCTTGGAACCCTGTCAGTGACCTGCTAGCATCTGGGTAAGTCCCTGACTGAAACCAGCTGCTGCAATTAGAATATATTTCGAGATGCAAGAACTTGCGAGTGTGTACTAGAGATGAACGAGGATTCTCTTCACTGTTTTTTCAGCCTGCTACTGGTTTCTTCAGCACTGCTGTACCTGTGTAGCTGTTAAGTAATTATACGGTGACGCAGAATATGAAGCATTTGCACATTTAAGATGTGCACTCTGTGGCCCTGAATACACATAAATTTTTTAAAAGGTTTTTAAAATAACTATGGATAACTGTCAGAGTATTTGAAGTTTGCGTAATCTACTCCTACTGCTCTTAGTAAATGGTTCACATTGGGGTCTCAGAAAGTTTCTGTCACCCGTGTTTTCTTTTTAAAAGTATGGAGACTCTAAACCAGAGTTCTCTTTGGCTATGTCTGCATTAGCGTGGTGCACAAACAGGAGTACATCGGTGGAGCAAAGCTATTGTGTGAGGACCTCATGTCGCCATTGTTGGTATGGCATAGGGCGGCTTCAGGCTGGACCTACTTTTATCCGATGAGCTGAATGTTAAGGAGTGGTTTGGGGGCATGTTTTGGTTTAGTGTCACTGGAAAGGAGTCTAGTTTGTGTTCTGCAGGACTGCTCAGCAATGACAACCGAAGCATGGTAAGTGGGACAATCAGAAGATTGACTTACAAAAAAGCATTTTTGATCCAAACAAAAATGCTAATGTAAACATACCCCGAGAGCTATAAACAGACACTGTTGGAATCTGTGTTTGTTCATGCTTGAAGTTAAACCTTAAAACGAAGGCTAAATTTAAGAAGTCTAGCTGGGAACGTGGAGGAAAGCTGATATAAGTTAAAGGAGATAAATGAGTCTTCGTCACTTAAAGTTGCTTAGCAGTATCGGAACACATTTCTTACAAGGAAGAGGAGAGTCTTTATTTTATTTCCAACTTTTTGCAAGATCATCAGAATAGTCTTCCTATCTTTGTTGACTTAATACATAAAAACAAGGAATTAGAGTGCAAACGGAAGAGAATAAATAGGAAAAATAAATACCAGGTTGCATAAACAGGACAAGATCTCTAAGAGAATGAAGACAAAAGTTTCCAAAGAATAATTTCAGATAACAAACTGGATTTTTAGAAAACAGAATCCTGCGGAATATGCTTCATTTCTGGAATGTCCAGGCCTGGACGTCCAGCATCTGTAGAATTAAGTATCTTCATTTATTAATTTTAAATGGATATAGTGGTAGAATTGCAAAAACTGTATGTAGGGTTTTTGGATGAAAAACTTTGGGTTTCACCTCTTTTTTATCATAGGCTCAGCGGGTCTTCTGGTTTGTGATAAGGTCCCTGGGTGATGCCATGATACAGACAAGAGCAGCAATAGCAGCCATGCTCCTATGCCGTGCATTTGCTGGATTTTCTGCTAACCGTATTCCTCTACCCACTCAGTTTTCTAGTGTCTCAGGCAATATTGCTTGGCAGTATTACTAATCCCTAACGAATTATTATTAGGAAGGGAAGTCCTGCTCATTAAGGTCAGTCTCCAGTTAAAATAGGCAAGTGTAAAACAGTTATTTCACACAGATTGTCCTCTTCCCAGCATACAGTTGAGTGAGCCATAAAAAGAGATTTATTTGATGTATAAATAAATAAAAGTTAGGCTTGACAGATGTGGAAGAACTAAGCATATGATACTACTTAATTGTCCCAGCCCAAATCTGAGGGGATGTTTTCAAGGAAAAGCAAGCAAATCAAGGGAAGGCAAAGAATCTGTGATGTGAAGGAAATGTTACTGCCTACATAACGACTTGTAAGTCAACATCAAATGATCCTGAACGAACATGCTCCTGTACTACTACTCTAACTTTTCAATGTATGCCTAAATGCTTTGACTACCCATAGATGTTAAATCATGGCCTAATAGTGAAGAAAACCTCGAACTAAGAAGAATTTGGTTAACCTCATTGAATTGTTTTCATGGCTGTTCCTTATTAAAGATGAAAATCTAGAGAAGGTTTCATAAAATCTGGAAGAGCTTTCCCATAGTGGGGACAAACTTAATTAGAATTTCATGGGCTGTCTTGAGGTCAATAGCTCTCATTTACGATCAAATGAAGGGACTGTATTTGTTGATACAATAGGTCTCCTTTAGCTCTGTCATCCTAAGCAATATACTTTTTAGTAGTAAACTTATCCATTATGGTTATTTATTTGAATTCTGTGGAGAACAGCACACACCCACATTATTATTGAAAGGAAAAGTGGTGGGGAGCAAGGATACCATACAGAATTATTCTTTAGGGACACCTGCTGGCGCCTGAGATGAAGTGAAGATGCTACTTTATTCTGGAGAATATCTGCACAGCTGAAATTAGGCATCTACTCAAGCGCTCTGTCCCTCTGCAGGTACCTACCATCTCTCAACTCATTACATAGGGAGTTAAGACTCTTAAGTATAGGTGCTCAGACCTCATCTGTTGGCTTTAGCGTTGGTAACTACTTCTGGGTGTCTGCCTCACCTCCCTGCCAGTACTTGCCATACCGGACTGCTTCCCTAGGATCTGTGGTTCAGTCGTAGCGTGCATAGTTTGGACAGCGAACCATTTAATAAAGCAGAGTATATACTGCAGCGACCGAGGTGTTTAACTTTGCTGCAGGGTGCTGAGCGCTGGTAGATGCATCCCTGGGACAGTGGTATCTTACACAGCTGGAGGTAAACCTGGAGGGTGATAATCAGAAGCATTAGTCAGATGTCTAAGATAGAGGAGTACCTTCTCTCTATCCCTTCAATTAAGTTTTACCCTTTGGTGTAATAGGTCTTTCTTAATAAGCTTTGCTACTGGTTTTGGAAGCACTTAAATACATGCATGGTTAGAAAGTGCAGTCAGGTTCTGTGTCTCATGCAGACTGATTAATGGCAATGCAATGAAAATGCAAATAATTTAGATGCATGTGCATCTTGAGCAGATTTCAGCCTGCTCATAAGAAACAAAGTATGTGATGCAGTTAGCCTTCAGGTAACGCAGCAGTCAGTGCCTGATGAAGCTTACATGGCTGAAATGGCATAGAGTGCACAGAAGAAAATTAAACCAAAGGAAGAGGGCTGAGTGACTGATTATGCCACTGTACAAAGAAGCAGTTGAGATGTCTGGTATAATAATAGCGCAAGCTCTCATCTAGAGGTAAACTGTGTGTTATGGCACCAATTAAACAAGGAGGAGAAATTCCCCAGGACCTGTAGTATGCTACAGTTCTGTTTGTCCTTTACAAAGTAATGCTTCAAAAAAGAAAACCGCAGTTAGTCTGATGCACAAACACCAAATTGTTAGATTCTATAATAACCATATTGTGCTGCCCGGTCTGTAGTTTTCTTCTGGTTTCCCATCTGCCTGATTGTACCCATCTGTTGTCTTCTTAAAAAACACAGATAAGAACCTAACTATTAAATAAAGGAAATAACACATTTGTTCTGTTTATAAAGTGCCTAGCACAATCGAATCTCAATTCATGGCAAAGTATTTTCTTCAAGCCTTGTTATACAAGCAATAAATTTTTCTAACAATTAGCAGCAGTTTAGACAGCAACCTGATGTAATTTTCAAAGCACTAAAAGAATGATGCAGGTTCACAACCTAATCTGAAGCAAGCTGTGTAAGGGGATTTGTTTGTAGAATGAATTACCCAAAACTAGAGCATTGGTTTCCAGATTTAGTGAGTATCCCACGGACAGAAAGAAATTTTGATATTTGATGTCTCATCTACCAATTGCTACGATTTTTTAGGCTGTGCAAGCTAGCACAGGAGTATATACTCTGTGGACTTTGCAAAGGGCTATTTAAAAAAAAAACAACAAACAATAGAGACAGGATTTTCTCTGATTGAATAGCCAGAAAAACTATGCTTTCCAGCTCAGCTGCTCTTCCTCCACCACACCCAGAAACCTTAATGTGGAGGATGGAGAAGACTAAAGATACCAGTGAAGGCTATCAAAGGCATGACTGGAACCAGATGCCTATAAGAAGAATGCTTAGATGTTATGAATGGAAGCATTAGAATAGTATGCACAGTAAAGTGCATACATACAGCCATGTGAGAGGATTAATTACCCTTTATGAAGGAAATCAACATTCCAAAACAGCTAATTGCATGTAGTGTTTTGGACAGGTTAAAAAAAAAAAAAAAGTGGGTGCTTGGCTAAATCTCAAGATTTGGCCATTCCTGACCATAATTCCAGTTTTGCTTTTAAAAGCCAATTGTCTTCCTCTTCAAAGTTTGATTTCTTCCATGAGATATCTTTCAATATGTTTTAATTTTATGGCACATGTAAATTGTTACAGATGGTTACGTTCCCTGGGTAGTGCAGAAACCCACTACAGCTACATCCACATTAGTAAACTCACCGTGCCTGGGAATATTCCTAGGCGCTGAGGCCAACTGGCACAGAACAACTGGTGTCTCTGCTAGCAAACTAGCCTGGCTGCCAAGCAAACTGCACGTTGGGAATCGTCTCTGGATCTTGTAAGCACCAAGCCATGCCCAGGAGTTATTCAGAGAGAACATCAGGGCCCTGAGCAAGAGTGCTAATTAAAACAGGCCAAAATCTGGCCAGGGGATAACCTGTCAGTTTGCTAGTGTAAGGTCGTCATGGTCCAGTGACCCAGAGAGTTCCTGAAAATAACTGAATTTCCCAGTATGGAAGTGAGTGGACTGTGAATGTCAGGGCTGCTAGAGCCTTGAACTCCAAAAGCTTTTCCAGTTGAATTTAGGATGTTTCTGTCAGCATGGTCAACTGCTGCTTCCAAGAGCGTGCTCTGTGCTGTTACATCCAGCCATGCCCTTCAAGTAATTCTCCGAGCCGTGAAGCAGAGGGACCTGGCCGCATTCCCAAAGCCCAGCAGTAGGTTTTTTCGCTTATCTTTGCTGATCTATATTAGCCTCTTTCACACAGGGGAACTTTGTCTCTTGCAGAGTGCTCCATGTACCTTTGCTCTCCCTAGTCAGCAAAATAATTAGCTATAAAAGCTGTTGTCCAAGATCTTTCACTTATGGCTATGTCTCTCAGAAGCAAGAAAGGATGTTTCTAGGCTATGTCCTGTCGTCATCTCTGGGGTTTATGTAATACTTTGAGTGACTGTATTCCTCCTATCAGTGGTTTAGGATCCACTGTGAATTACCTTTCTGAATAATCCTTTTGAATTACCGGGTTGAGGGGTCTGATTTCACACACCACCGCCCTAACCAGTGCCAGGTGTTAATTCTGCTAACTGTAGGTGCTTATTCAGTAGCAGGTGACTTTAGCGAGACCAGTTTCCCCATTGCAGCAAATCCGTTAATGCAAAGTGATCAGCTATTAGGTGAGGTCTACTTGAATAACCTGCTGCAGAGAGCAATGTTGTGAAATCCATGGGACAGAGATCTGCCTCTGGATACCTCTGAGGCACTTCCCTCTACTGACTGCCTTGGAAGCGCAAGCGCTTACTTTAAGAGATCTGCTTTATTAAGGAAGAATTAGATGTATAAATTATAAGGAGGGGTTTCCTTCCTTTTTGTGCTTTTAATAATCTCTTTTAAAATAAAATAATAAAAAGTAACTTCTTTGAGCCAGAAGTATTAAATATGCATTAGCAATATTGCATATCAAAATAACAGTGATTAGAGGACTTGCGGCTGAAGATTAGAAGTACCAAGGTTCAGCAAACACCTTGCAGATTTCCTTACCCAACTGCAGCTGTTTTAACCTCTGTGCTGACAGTTACGGAATGGAGATTTTATGTGTCACAAATAAAATTCTGCAAACATTTGTCCACTTCGATTCATGATTATACCGGTGCTGGAGAACATGAAATAAAATTCTTTCAGAACTAGTCTTCCTAAATTTGGCAGTACTTCACCGTAGTGCAGAACAGTATACCTATTACTCAAGTGTTCATGATTTGCATGTTGGAATGAGCTGCTTTATCATGCAGATAGAAATGCTTCTGTGGGCTAAGGAGATTAAATATCTTTCTGAATTGTGCTTGAACTATGGTCCTCTAATAAGGCAGGGTTCACTGAATCATTCAACAGAAGTCAGAATACTTTCCAGAGCAGAGAATACTCCTTCTCCCACCCCCCCCC